TTTCTGATGAAGGGTCTAGGCCCGAAACGTCAGCCTTTCTGCTCCTATGATGCTGCTTGGCCTGCTGTGTTCATCCAGCTCTGCACCTTGTTGTCTCACAAGGAGACTGGGTGGTGAAGAACATTGGCCAGAACATTGAGTAAAGGAGTAGCGACATCATTTTGCAGCTGTAAAGGACATTGAGGGCACTTGGAATGCTGCATAAGGTTCTATTACCCTGCTATAGGAAGAACATTATTAAATTGGAAAGGGTGCAAGAAAGATTGAGAAGGATGCTACTGAGACTCGAAGGTTTGTGTTATGAGGAGAGGCTGAATAGGCTGGGGCTATTTTCACACAACATGGTGTATGTATGAAATAAGCTGCCAGAGGAAGTGGTAGAGGTGGGCACCATTACAACGTTTAAAAGACATTTGGACACGGATAGCAAAGGTTTGGAGGGATATGGGCCTAATCCAGGTAAACGAGAATAGTTCATTTTCGGAAACCTGTTTAGCCTGGACGAGTTGAACCAAAGGGCCTCTTTCCATGCTGCATGACTTCATATAAAGACGTTAAACATCAGTTTTTGTTTTCAAACAAAAAAACAAAATTGCTGGGGAAACTTAACATGTCCAGCAGCATCTGTGGAGAGAAAGCAGAGTTCATGTTTTGAGTCCAGTGACTTGTCTTCAGAACTCTGACTTGAAATGTTGACTCTTTCTTTCCACAGATGATGCCAAACCTGCTGAGTTTTACCAGCAATGTCTACGCTTGTTTCAGATCTTCAACATCAGTTGTTTTAAGTTTTGTTTCCAGTTCAGTTCAGAAAGCCCCGGAGTTGTAGTTGAGGGGGAAAAAAAAGAGTTGAGATCAGAAGAACTTTTAGTTTTTCTCCTAGTAGTTAATCGTTTAGTTTAGAGGAAATCAATTCCTTGGTGTATTTTTCTTTTGAAGTTTCCAATTCAGGAGAGTTTGAAATATAGTTTTTCAATTGTTAGAATTTGTGTTTAGGGCAGTTTATATTTGGAGAGGATATGTAAAATTGCCTCTACAGCTGCAACAAGTGGAAGCTTTCGAGTTGAGGCAAGAATAATTTCTCTAGTTTCAGGTCTCTATAATCAACATTGTTGGGAAACCAACTGAAACTTTGCTTTAATATTTGTAAAAATCTTTCTAACTGGAAAACATATAGCAAATTTGTTTTAGTTTATTCTATATTCTATATTCTATTAAAGAACATCTGCAGACTTATGTGAGCGTTTCAGTGACTAATCACCACATTAGTTAACAAAACAATTAAATGTATGATCTATCAAGCTCGGTTTCATACATTGTTGTATTGTATCCAGTGTGTGAATATATATAACGTTTTCTTATTTAGGTTGCACGTTTGTTAATTGTGCAGTAGCAGCAACAGCAAATTGAAGTTGTAGGAATAGAAATGATATTGCAATTAGAGAATGGAATGCCTTGCTATTTCAGATCTCTAGTGTCAGCTGTTGTCTGTTCAACAATCTCTACCTAAGAACAATAATGCTTAGATTTTTCAAGGACAGTCCCAAATGCAAAATGTGCTATCTTCATTTCTTGTGCCAGTCATCTTTGTGGTCTCTCTGAAATTGAGTTTAGCATTGTGATCCACACGTGTAAAGTACTGCATCCTGATCTCCCAAATTGCTTAAATGTTAAGCAAGAAGTATTCACCGTTGTTTGTCAGAGTTGTATTTAAACTAAGTTCTTCGATGTGACTGATGGTATATGCCCAATTTCCATTCATTTCTTGGAATCCCAGATACCTTTAATTGCCCAACATTGACAGTGTAGCAAAATGAGGAGTTTAAATGACACAAGATATATTATTCAGTAATTTGGTGCTGACCAATCAGTCAGTGTGGGTTGGTTGCTGTTAGTTTCAGGTGAGTAATACTTCTGTCTCATTTCAATTTGTAAACAGGGTCAATGTTAAATCTAATTTTTCCTGAGTAAAATGCAGAGGAAGCTGTACTTTGGAGAATAGGCACTGAAGGAAAGGTGTGTAATATTAGTGTTGATTTTTGAGAACTTTCAACATTCAATTGACAAATACCCACTCCATTTTAAAAGTATGGTAATTATCTTGTTTTGCTTTGATGATTATATTTGCATACTTTCCATCTGTCAGTGAAAATGCACAGTTTGCACAACTTTATTCAGTGGACAAAAGCATCAGCACACTAGTTATAACTAATTTTGAAATGATTATTGGAAAAGTTTGCAGCCTGCTCAAGGTGCTTACTCCATAAATAATACATGCATATCTACATTTTGCAGTTAGGTTCAGTGCTTCTAATCAATGCTGTGTGTGTTCAGATCTTCAAATATGCAATTGATATCACATTTTTGATGAATTTAAATATCCTACTGTATATTCTATTAGCTTGTTCACCTAGTTGTTAAACAAAGTTTTTTGTTATCACAATGTAAGTAGGATGTATTTAATATTGACCATCCTATAGCCTCCTCCTGAGTTAGTGTTTTGGGAGCACCTAATTAAACATTCCTTCTCCATCCCTTCTGCAGCTGTCTTGGCTGTTGACTTGAACGTGGCATTAACTTGGAGCATTTAAAGATTTAAGTTCATGTGAATAATTATCTATTAAACATGGGTGTCACTTGTTATGACAATGAATCAGTTTCTAAACAATTAACCAGTCACTTGACTCTACAAAACCTGACTGCTATCCACAAAGCACAAGTTAGGAGTGTGGAATACTCCCCATTTGCCTGGATGAGTGCAGCTCCATCGCCAGTCAAGAAGCTTGATACATTCCATGTGATTGGAAACAAATCTACAAGCATTCTGTGATGCACCCAGCAGCAGTGCGTACTATCTACAAGATACGCTGCAGAAAGGCTCCTTCGATGGCATCTTCCAAATTCACAATCACCAGCACCTAGAAGGGCAAGGGCAGCAGATACAAGGGAACAATACCACCTGCAAATTCCCCTTCAGGCCGCTCAACATCATGACTTGGAAATTTATTACCATTCCTTTAGTCTTGCTGGACCAAATTTCTGGAACTCCCTTCCTAACGGCATTGTGGATGTACCTGCACTAAATGGACTCCATTGGTTCAAAAGGCAGCTGCCTACCACTTATCAAAGCCGAAGGCAAATAGGGATGGGAAATAATTACTAGCTGAGCCGACGATTCTTGCGTCCTGTGAATGAATTTAAAAAAAAAAAAATTCTCTGGCGTTTAGAAGGATGAGGGATGATCTCGTTTAAAGTGCTTATGGGACTTAGTCAATTAAAATGTTCAACCTCAATTAGGAAAGAAACTAAGTTCTGGAATGTGTCGATAGAAACATATAATCCACTGTGATTTAACAATTTTATCGGTTTTGGGACCTCATGCTAGTCTTTAATGATCTAAGTGGTGATGGTGATCATACTGGCATTTATTCATCAAACATATGACCCATAGTTTGCTATAACAAGTCAACAATACATCTGTTAGTTATTCTTATGTTTGTTTGTTTCAGTCTTGATATTAATTTGTGCTGAAAGTTGCTGGACATATAAGCACATTAACATTGAAGTGGTAAAAATCTTGACATCAAGGCCTTGCGTGAATGGAGCAGATTGTTAGTTATTTTGTTACGGAATATAAAAGGAAACCAGAAAATGTTGGAAATACCCATCAGGTCTGGCACTGTGGAAAGAGAACAAAGGTCATAGACCTTGAAGCATTATCTCTCTTTCTCTCCATGAGAGTTGTGAGATTTGCTGAGTGTTTTCAGCATGTTGTGTTTTTATTTCTAACTTTGAGCATCTGTAGTAATTTATTTTTTTGTACAATCCTTAACCTCACCCAATGTATGATTGAGAAAAAACATGAATTATAGGTGAATTGTCAAGTCAGGAACAGAGAATTGAAAGGGAAAGAAGGATTGGACTAAAAGCGGGAAAAAAATGAAAAACGTTTGAAATAGATGTATTTAAAATATTAAAAATGTTTTAACAGCAAATAACTTTTGAAGGATTAAGATTCTACACAACGATAGCTCAACAGATTTAATATTCAACACCTGCAGTTGGGGGTCATATAAGATGGTTGGGCTTTTGTGTTGTGGGAGATTTTAGATTTAAATTTCCAATCCTTGGGGTTATTTTGAGGTATGTTGTATTTTGATATTTATTATTGCGTTTTCTGAACTGTTCAGCAGACATCTTTTTCCATAAGAAGTCATCCTTCAACTGATACCTTTTCCTACTTTCTTGTGGAGTTCTCACATTCAATAAAAACAGGAGTTCCTTGACAAAAGACTGTTGTATTTTCTCTTCTGTTATGTATAATGAATGGAAAGAAATAATCTACCTTAAACACTGCCATGTTCTGGAATCAGTCAAAGTTTACTTTTCAATAACTTAAAATTTATGTTGAGCTGTACTTGTTTGTAATATTGATTATTTCTTACTAGTCTTTTAATTATTTCTTCACTTAGGGACATCATGATAACACACTTTGATCCCTCCATCACGTACGAAAATCTTTGCACTGAAGTCCGTGACATGTGTTGCTTTGATAATGAGCAACTCTTCACAATGAAGTGGATTGATGAAGAAGGTACAGTGGATATTATGGCAAAATCTCTATTTATTTGCTTGCTTTGCACTTCTGATGAAGAGTTCTTTTAGAGATAGAGGAGTAGAAAAAAATGCGGGAATGCGTTGTGAGACCTTGGTCTATCTCTTTGTCATATGATCATAGTCACAGAGGGTCTACAGCACCATAAAATGCCCTTCAAGTCTAAACTTGTCAAAAACAAACATCTAACTATATTCTAAGATAGTAGGAACTGCAGATGCTGGAGAATCTGAGATAACAAGGTGTAGAGCTGGATGAACACAGCAGGCCTAGCAGCATCAGAGGAGCAGGAAGGCTGACGTTTCGGGCCTAGACCCTTCTTCAGAAATGGGGGAGGTGAAGGGGGTTCTGAAATAAATTGGGAGAGAGGGGGAGGCGGATAGAAGATGGATAGAGGAGAAGATAGGTGGAGAGGAGACGGACAGGTCAAAGAGGCGAGGATGGAGCCTGTAAAGGTGAGTGTAGGTGGGCCCCACCCCCATTTCCTACCTACTAACCTCATCCCGCCCCCTTGACCTGTCCGTCCTCCCTGGACTGACCTATCTTCTCCCTAACTCCCTACCTACACTCATTTTTACTGGCTCCATCCCCGCCTCTTTGACCTGTCTGTCTCCTCTCCACCTATCTTCTCCTCTATCCATCTTCTATCCGCCTCCCCCTCCCTCCCTATTTATTTCAGAACCCCCTTCCCCTCCCCCATTACTGATGAAGGGTCTAGGCCTGAAACGTCAGCCTTCCTGCTCCTGTGATGCTGCTTGGCCTGCTGTGTTCATCCAGCGCTACACCTTGTTATCTCAGATTCTCCAGCATCTGCAGTTCCTACTATCTCTGATTAAGAAGGCATATGGCACGTTTGCCTTCGTTGGCTGTGGCATGGAGTACAAGAGTTGGCAAAGCATGTTGCAGCTACATAAACCCTTTTTAAGCTGCATTTGGAGTGTTGTGTGCACGTTTGGTCACCACATTACCAGAAGGGCATGGAAGCTTTGGAAAGAGTGTAGAGAAGGTTCATCAGGATGTTGCCTGGTCTCAAGGGCATTGGCTATGAGGAAAGGTTAAAAAGACTAGCAATGTTTTCAATGGAAAGATGATGGCTGAGAGGAGGTCTACAAAATTATGAGAGGTGTAGATAGGGTGGATAGTCAGAGGCCTTTACCCAGTGTTGAAGTTTCAATTACAAGGGGGCACAGGTTCAAGGTGAGAGGGCAAAAGTTTAAGGGAGATGTGCAAGGAAAGCTTTTCATGTAGAAAGTCATAGGAGCCTGAAATGCACTGCCAGAGGACATGGTGGAAGCAGGCATGTTCGCAACATTTAAGAGGCATCTGGATAGTTACACTATTAGGGAAGAAGTAGACCGATATGGACCGAATAAGGGCAGAAGGTTTTTTTTAAGTTTAGTCAGGACATGATGATTGGCAGAGGCTTGGAGGGCCGAAACACCTGCTCCTGTGCCATACTTCTCTTTTGTAAATCTACATGCCCTGTCTGTGCTCCTCAATTTTATACATCTCACTCTTTCTCCCCTCTCAGTCTCCTGTGCTCCAAAGAAAGCGACCTCAGTCCTTCCAGTTTTGCTTCTTAGTTAAAACTCTGCAGCACAGGCACCATCCTGGTAAATCTCCTGTCCTGTGCTGTTGCATCCCTTCTATAATGTGGATTCAGGAACTGCACACAACTAACCTTTTACGTAGTTCCAGCATCACTTCCAGCTCATAAACTCTATGCGTCAGCTAATAAAAGCAGATATCCCATATACCTCCTGAACCAATTTGTCTATTTGTCCTGCTGCCTTAACGGATCAGTGGATGGCACACTTCAAGGTCCCACTGACCTTATGTGCTTCCAAGAGTCCTACGTTTTTCATGTGTTCCGTTGTCTTGTTTGTCCTGCCCAAGTGAATCATGTCACACTCATCTGGATTCAATTGTGTTTGCTGCTGTAAGCTCGTCTGACCAGCCCATCTATCTCGTGTAATCTAAGGCTTTCTTCTCTATTTACCACTCCTCCAATTATTGCATCATCTGTGAATATACTGATCAATCCACCTGCAAGCAAATCTAAATATTTTATATATGCCGCAAACAGCGAGGGTGCCCACACTGATCCTGATGAAGCTCTGCTGGGCACAGGCTTCAAGGCACAAAACGCCCCTTGACCATCACCCTCTGCTTCCTGTCTGTTAGCCAATTCTGCATCCGACTTGTGAAATTTCCTTGGATCCTGTGGGCTCTTAGCTTTGCTGTTAGTCTTCCCTAGGGTCCTTATCAAAAGCCTTGCTCGTATCCACACAGATTACATCAAAAGATATTGCCCTCACCTACATTCCTGGTTGCCTCTGCAAAAATTTCAGTCAAATTGGTTGGACATAACTTCCCCTCAACAAAGCCATGCTGACTGTTTATGATTAATCCCTGCCTTTCTTCTGTCCCTCAGAATTGCTTCCAACAGTTTCCCCACCACTGAAATTAGACTGACAGCCCTGTAGTTTTCTGGTTGATCGACAGTTTGACACTGGCTCTCCTCTTGTCCACTGGCAACTCTCCTGTGGTCAGGGAGGAATGGAAAGTTATTGCCAGTACCCCTGCTAATTGCTCCCTAGCCTCAGTCAACAGCCTGGGATACATTTCATCTGGTCCTGAAGATTTATGTACCTTTTAAGCCTGCCAGACCACTCGGAACCTCCTCCATGTCTGTGCTGACTTTGTTAAGTCTACCGCAGGCCATCTTGATTTCTATACCCACATTGTCTGTCTGTCTCGGTCTCTCTCACAAGTGAACACCGGTTGAAAGTATTCATTTAGAACCCTATCTACATCCTCTGGCTCCATGCACTAATTACCACTGTAGCCTTTTAATAGGCCCTACTTTTCTCTAGTTATCCTTTTATTCTTAATGTACTTGTATAACATTTTTGATTTTTATTTTAGCACAAAACCACATGCTTAATTATCAAAGTTGTGTATTCTTTTTTGACCAAGGTATCTTCCTGTCGTGTATGGTTCACAGCATACCTATTTCCTTATATACTCAATTGTTGGATTTCTCAATATTAGACTTAGAATAAAGACAAATTAACCAGACATCTTTTATAAACTTAAAATGATTTTTTTTTTGTTTTAAATAATGAAGATGCAGTATTTTTTGACACTAGGGCAACATGGTGGCTCAGTGGTTAGCACTGCTGCCTAACCGACCCAGGTTTGATTCCAACCTTTGTGCAAACTCCCTACAGAGAGTTGCCTTTCTCCTGGTATCTGCATGGGTTTCCTCTGGGTGCTCCAGTTTCCTCTTACCATCCAAAGATGTGTGGGTTAGGTGGATTGGCCATGCTAAATTGCCCATAGTGCCTGCGGATGTGCTGGCTTGGTGGGTTAGCCGTAGTAAATGCGAGGTTACAGGGATAGGGTAGGGGGTGGGTCTAGATGGGATGCCCTTTGGAGGATCGGTGCAGATTTAATGGCCTGAATAGCCTGCGCCTACACTTTAGGGACTCTGAAGTTTGTAGTTTTTAAAATTTGTTCATAGGTTGTGGAAATCGCTGGCTAGGCCAATGTTTGTTTCGCAAGCTTAACAACTTTGAATTAGGTAGTGCAGCTGCTTTTTTGAAGTACTGCAGTCCTTGAGGTGAAGGGACACCAACAGTGCTGTTGTGAAAATATAAATGTTATCCTTCTAAATATTCCTGACTTATCAACTGAATAATCTAAAATCTCCATACCATATAAAAGGAAAGAAGTAGATGTGTTTCAGCATATTTTAGTCAATTTTGAAAGCAAAAATGATAAAGTTTGGGATTTTCATATGGCTATTGGTCTGACGATTTGGCACACACAATTCACTTCAATAAACACATGCATTTGTTATTGGGAGTCTATGCAGATACAGCTTTTCAGGCAATATCAAGGACCTCTTTCAGAGATGTTTCATGCGAGAGCAGCTGGACTAGGACCCGGGTATCACATTGGACCAAAAGCAAGAATTTTTCAAAATACAGGAGAGCGAGACTAGAAAGTTGCTTTCTTTCAGGATTGTCGCCAACTACTCTAAATAATATCCAAAGCAGACATTGCAACCTAACAGTCATGAACCCAAGCAGGCATTTCCTGTAAACAAGCAAGTTATCACAAGGCACATGACAAGAAATGCCTTGTTAAAGAATAGCAATCACTTATTTTGCTGCCCAGGATATACCTGGGCACTTTTCTACATTGTTGAGAAGATGTCAGTGTTGGAGCTGTATTGGAACAACTTGGTTAGATGTGGGGCTAGTTCTGGAGAGCAAGACTTTCATACTGTTGGTCAAATGTTGTTAGGATCCCTAATTTGTGCAGTATCCAGAGCCTTCAGCCATAACTTGATGTCATGTGGAGTGAATTGAATTGTTTGAAGACTGGCATCTGTAGTGTTGGGGATCTGAGGAGGAGACCAAGATAGCTTGTCCAGTTGGTACTTTGGCTGACGAAGAATATAAATACTTCAGCATTGTGAAAATGATTAGTGAAAAAGCACTGTGTATACAAAGGCATCTTATTGCTGTTTCTCTGGGATGAATGGCTGGTCAATACCAACAAGCTAGATGGCAGTAAGAAACTTAAGGGAGAGTGGCCTCTTGTTTGTTTCTCTGGTGTAAAGGACACTTGATTGGTTTTTATCTTTTTAATGAAGTGGGAGAACGTTGGAATGAAACGCGAATACATGGGAGTGGTTTTGGCAAAGACCTGTAGCTCGGGTGGAGGATGAGGTTGTTGACTTGCTCGCCAAGCTGGCTTGTTTTCGTTGAGACATTTTGTCACCATGCTAGGTGACATCATCAGTGGAGCCTCCGATGAAGCGATGTTATTCTACTTCGCTTGGAATTTTTACCGTCTGGTCTGTTATGGTGAGGAGTGTCATTTCTGGTTTGATCTGTATGGGTCTGCATTTGGGGTCCAATTCTATGCGTTTTTTGATTGCATCACAGGTGGAGAACCATGCCTCT